CAGTGCAAGTCGGCGCCCAGGTCAAACCTCATACTTGTGATTTCAATTTGAAGAGCGCATTGGACTGTGGGAAAATCAATTTATAAACACAAATGTTGAATATGGCAGCGCGACGACTACCGCGCTTTGAACAGCAAGTAGCAGCAGGCCATGGAAAATAATAAAAATACCTTCCATGATCAGTCACATATGTATTCACAAAATATATTATTGAAAGATGTCTAAATAGTTAATAAAAACAACAAGAGCAAATGGTCTAAACAATTGAGAAACTGCTGAGCAGTATTGGTTATAACCCAATTATATCTTCAACTGAGATGTTTCAAACATCATGCATGAGCGAAGTTTAAAAAGAATTAAATAAATTATTTGAAAAACAGTGGGGAAATGATATACATAATGACAATAAAAAGCAAATTGGTTCCTTTAATATGTAGGACATACAGAATGTCTAAGAACAAGTTTAAAACTGAAAGATATCTTGTTGATGTCACTAATGTTCAGCTAACTAGATTTAGAGTTAGTAACTATTGTCTTATAATTGTAACTGGCAGACAATAACAGATTGCAGTTAATTCTAGAATGTGTGACCAATGTACACAAAACAAAGTTGAAGATGAAAACACTTTGTTATGAATTGCCCAGCATAGGGCACATAGACTGCATTTATTTAACAAAGCAGAAATTAATATTAATGATTTTAGAACCAGTAGTGAGAGTGATAAATGTATTTCCATTATGAGCAACAAATATACGTCACTACAGTTCATTAGGATCGTGTCTTAATACCAGACAGTGACTGTGTCTTGTATGAGTTACGAGTATTAATGGTGTTTTGTTGTTTTTTTGTTTTTGTTTTGTGATGTATAACCATTTTTATCTTCTCCGGGATATATTATGAGTTAATAAATATTAATATTATGCGTACCGTCTGCCATATTTGGGACAAATAACAGATCGACGAATGATGGCGCGAGGAATAAGGGCGCGGCACGAGCTGGATGGATTTCCAGGTTGGGTTCCAAGGTTTCCAAGTGTGTCCCATTTCGGCTCCGACTAACCTAATTGGTTGTTTGGGGACTAACATGAAGGTAACTGCTGCAAACATGAAGGATTAAAAATGTTGGCACGTGCCGAGATCCCGGAACGTGAACGTAGCTAACGAATCTGCTTTATATAAGAGCTCCATGAAAAGGGGTGGGTTGAAATATTTTTTTAAATAATTTCACTGTCGTACGAGAATACATTTCACTCTCTTAATTTCGTAAGTGTCACATTTTTCATAAATCTATTTTTAAAGTTATATAAAAAAATCGTCATCCCCAAAGTTGGCACATGGAGCTTTCTAACGATATCTAACTTATCGAGTCGCGCTACACCAAGTACGTGCGACGTTCTCCAGTCCAAATTCGTTTCCAATAATACTGCTGATCCTAATCAGGGCCAGAGTTTAGCACATTAGAACTAAATGTCATCACACGTGACAGAAAATAATAAATTTGTTCGGACTGTGGTGTTTTAAATGACAGTTTTGCTGGCCTGTCGACAATATGTAATCATATAGCTTACCTTTGAAATCTGTCACGTGATCAGCGTCAAATAATGCGCCCTTTTATACGCTCCGAGTCGCCGGCAAATGCATTTGTTATTGTGTCGATATATACTTTAGAGCTCAGACAACTGAAAAAGTTTATTAGTTGTCTGAGCTTAGATAAGGCAGGGCATAGTACTAAATACACGTGACGACGACATTTCGGAACCACTCGAAATTCAGTCATTGAATGATTGATTTATTGATTGTCAGGGTAATTGCAAGATTACAAGTTTAATAACTGAGTTATTATTTGCTAAATACAGTTTACAATCTTAATCTCAGTGCAGTGAAGCGCTACGTCCATGATGTCGGTATACCGTGGGTGTTTAGGTGATTTGCTACTGACACATAGACCAATAATTCACACCGTAAGGTAGTCTATCCACCATAAGGATAATATTTTGTATTAGGGGTCTGAGATATGCAAGCTGTACGGCGTGCAGCGAAGAGTCATCTTCTACGGAATGCACTGTTTGTGGGCACGACCTATGCAGTGTCCGAGTTCACGCAGCAGACCATCATTGCTGACTCGTACGATTTCCCAAGAATAATCCGATTCGGAATATGGGGAGGATGTTTTAACGGACCGTTTAACTACAGATGGTATAAATTCTTGGACGCTATTCTACCGGGAGCCGCTGTCAAGACCGTGGTAACGAAGGTGTTTCTCGAAAAGTTCACGGCAACGCCTACTATACTGTATTCTTTTTACGTCGGTGAGTGCTCAGAACAGCTGACTTATACAAACATGCCAGTGTGTTTACATTAAACTCAGGGCATTTAGAGGTCAGGGATAAGATAAGATATTTGATTTTAAAGCGCGGTGGTCGTCGAGTAGCGCGTGTTAGAAGTTCATGTAAATAAACAATGTATTTTACACGCGTTGTATACGTCGCTATGAGTCCCATATCGAACAGGACGCGGTGCGACGACTGCCGCCCTTCAAACGTATACACTGTACATACAAACAAACAAACAGAAATACAAATCTAAACAAACTGTCAATGGTACAATATAATGAGGAATGATATAGTTTCACGATCTTTTTTCCAGTTATGTCCATATTGGAAAGGAAAGATGACATTTTCACAGAAGCTAATCAGAAAATAATTCCGACGTACTTAGCCAGCTGGGGATTTTGGGCTCCAGCACAGGTAAGTGTCACAAGGAGTAAGAACAATACATTATTGACAGAAATATTAAAAAATATAGTTTGCTATTCGTCACCATCTCCTGTATTGACATAGACCGCTTATTTATAGAAAAGAACGCTCGGGTCTCCATGAATAGCTACGTTCTCACGCCGGTGTTGACACTGTTTTTTTTGTTGTGCAAATATTGGATAATCTGTATACATGTACATTGATTGTTTCCACTGTAAATATAGACAATATATACAAATCTTTACCAAAATATTGGTTGTAAAAACAGTAAATGTTTCAATTGAAAAACTGTAATCTTCACAATAATTAATGTATTTTTTTTCACCAATAATTCACGAGCAGTAACTAAAGAAGGAACTGTTTTCCTGTGATTTCTACGGCGTCTAGCCATGGTCTTTTTGTCGCACTTTGGCGCTGCGAATTGTTTCTTGGAACATCGGCCATTTGTTTCACCATAGAGGGAATGTGACCGTGATGATAGGGTTATTAGATCTCTTATCAAAGACACTTGAAGAATTAGCTTGTTTTTAAACAGTCGGCGTGTACATTGAAACGGTAATGTTTGTCAGTGGTTACCCCTCGTTGGTGCGTTTGCACTCAGACAACTTTATTAGTAGCCTGACGAGGTCGCGTGAGTTGCGCCCTCCGCGGTGCTCCAAGCCAAACATGATGCCATTCAGCCGGCGAGGGCCTACTCACACCTACATGTCAGGCTACTTTATTAGTTGTCTGAGGTTTGCATAACAATGAAAGCCATGTCTTCCGAACGCTCCAGCAGTAAGTTTGGTGTATGTTTATAATAATGCAGAAAATCTGCAGTGTTTTATTATCCAAAACTGTTTTTCGCATTTTTTCCAGATTAAGTTTTGATTCAGTATGGCTTATTGGGATCACCGTCAAATCAAGTGCGTTCGGGCTAGAACATTCAAACCCGCACTAATCGTTCAGATAATGACGGTGGGAAATATGTCTTGTTTTTTTAAGAAGATGCTCTGTCACAGAATAATAGTCTGTTAAAGGTGCCAAGTATGAAATAATTAGGGGACAAAAAAAAACCTACGTAGAAATTTTTATATATCTTTTTATTACCGGGACAAATTTCAATGGACTTGATTACGGACAATGCATGGCTTAAATTTCACCTGGAAATTCCGCAGTGTGCTCTCGCAATCGCGGAGTTACTCATTTTTACAAGGTTCGCCATTTCTGTCGTCACGTGGTAATTAAGTAATTATGACAATACTGATAAAACATTATTCAAAAATGTGATGTCACCATTTGAACTTAGTGTTGTCCATAAATTAGCATAACTATAAGACAAGGGGTGTATTCATTGATATTTCATTTATTTATTGCATTATCACATACAAGCAAAAACTATAACTTCCCAAAGCTTGTTGGATAAAAATTAGCCAAGACTGCATGAAGGCCAAACATAAATAAAGGTTTGCCACCCAGTTGTTTTTTCCAGTTATTCATTTATACAAGCCACAAATTGCTCTGTATTGTTTCATTTTTAATACTTTATAATACCACCCTAAAATTTGACAAATAAGAAGAAGAAAATGCCGACTTGTAACCAATTTGCCACTATTTGTATCGTTATCCTTAAGCACACTTATTGATAATAAAGTTTTCAATCGTTGAGATGTGTACATATATGACGTGCAAGTCTGTATAGATGATCAACGGCGAACGTAGCAGCATTCTGACAGAATAAAATATCCAGGTTATAAAAGCTCAACGAAAGTCGTAACAAAAAATGAGACATCATTTTTTTCTGATAATTAATTATAAATGAATAATTATATAGATAAGATATTTGGAAATATTCTTACAGACTAGCATAATAAAGACTTATAATAGAAAGCAAAAACTTGTACATATTGTGTTTTATTACACAGTTACTGTTAGTAACACTATTTTAAACCACTTATTTGGAATTCATCTCATTTTATGTTAAGCTCTAGAAATTGTCTACAACAAACTGGAGTCGCACTGCCTGTTTTTATAATAATTAATGTTAAGTTGCCATGGTTACATAATGCATCAGCATGTATCATAACATTTCACGTTGTTTTTTAAATAATAATTATATTTCTTAAAACAGGCAATCAACTTTTACCTAGTCCCTCCAGTTTACAGAGTTGTGTATGTCGGCACTGTTGCATTCATCTGGGCCAACTTTCTATGTTTTATGAAGAGACAGGTAAGTTATAGCATATTGATCGCAAATTAAGTAAAATGAAATACATTACCATGTCAATATTATGTGAGTGGCGCTGGTGATGTTCTCACAAAGCAGGGCTTGTGTCAAATGGTTCTTGTCAATAGTCCAAAATTATCGAGCGCTTATTTCCATGGACACGAATGCATAACAGCGAAATATATATCTAGGTTTCAATCTGTTTAAATCTGATGTTTTTTACAGCGTGTTATTTCAAAGTGTTTAATTTTAATTGTTATCATATTTATTATTATTTTGTAATTCCCTTTTTATGGCATGCGTCTTATTAGAAAAAAAAACTGAAACTACTATGATTTTTTTTTAATTAGATTAATCAGGATACGAGATTTTTTGTCTAAGGACTTCTTAAATGAAAATGGATTTCAACAAAATGTTGCCGAAAATGCTTTTATTGGCGTCGAGTACCTTAATTGAACAAGTGGAATTTTATAGAAAACAAGCCTTATATAATGTAACAACTTAATATCATTTCATTGTAACATGTGAGCATCGGACTGAGAAAAAATATATATTCATCACTATTATATTTAGCCACTAAAATATCTTTTAAATAATAGAAGCGAGAAAACAGTAATACAAATAGCAAAATGCATAAATGACTGTTTTCAAATTAGAGAAAAAAACAAACAAACAGAAATTTCAATTTGACAGCCCATTTAAATGATGTTTTTTTGACAGTTCAAGGTCACTGTGGTTAGGTATAGGCCAACATTTACACATCATCCTATCTATGGTACTCTGCAGTCAAGTATTGGCCAATATTTTCAATGTCTGTCGCCGACACATCCACGAATATTCGTTATACAGAACATTGTTTCAGAGCTAATTTTATCATGTTTTCTCCCTCTCTGTCAAGGCAATTGTCCCCGGGCCTGTTGTATCACTCCATCACCAGGAGGACAGCACAAGGTGATATCCGCGCAGGCAACGGGACTGACTCGTTGACAGGACAGAGTGACTGTGTACCATGATGGACGGCGATTGAATTCAACCTTTCACGCACACTATTTAAAAATGAAAATAATATATAATATTGTCAAAAATATAATATAATCAATCTAAAAGGTTAGAGTTGAAATAAATTAAACTCGGGTTAACCGAAAATATATATATATATATATAGTATAATGTGGTTCTTGAGGCGTTGTACACAAGAGATGTAACTAGGTTTTAATTATTATCATAGTATAAACTGATAACAGCCCACATCAGAGATAGAATTTATAGCCCGGAGTTAAATATCACGTACAAATATCTGAAAGTGGGTCGAGCTACGTGCCCAGATGTCGATTCTGGATTCATTGGATGAATCTGGGTAAAGAATGTACAGGTGTTATGATAAAGATTGACACAATAAACTGTGTGTCGTCATGGCCGGTATTTAAAGTTGGGACAGCGTGTTGCCATGTCATTGCTGCTCGAGATTTTGCCCAACGAATTAGGTCCACGCTTTGGGTGACTGTGAGATCTGGTGAGCAGAATCATGTACTACCATAGCCAAACCCGGCGTTTAACATAAATGCAAAGACCCAGAATTTATTTATTTTGCAATAATAAGCATATTAAAAAAGTTGGGAGTTCACCAGCATAACTTTCGAAAATATTATTGTTCTATATTCACTACTATATGTTCCTATCATGCCATATATATTATGCCGTGTCTCAAATTGTAGGCTGGTGACATAGGCTGAATTCTTGGCTGTCAGTTATTATACTATGCTTGTAATTTTATAGAATTTGTTCTTATCCTGGCCGGTTTATTTATGTGATATTTTACAAATATATATGTGAGGAGTATGGAATGATGTTGTGATGGTGTGTAGTGCATTTCGTAACCTTCACCTCTTAGCACAGTCACTTGGGGCTGAATAAAATC